AGCCAGGGGCCTGGTTGTGCACACCTGTAATCCCAGTGTTGGGAGGCTGAAAACAGGAGGATTACCATGAGTCTGAGCTGCCTAGCGAGAACTTGTACCAAATACAGAAATGAAAATAATGATAATAATAATAAGTGAAGGACTGGCGAGATGGCTCAGTGGTCTAAAGCACCTACTTGGAACAAGCTTGGCAAAGCACAGGGACCGCGGTTCAATCCCCCAGCACCACATGCCAGCCAGCCCCACCCCCTGGTGGGCTGAGCTGGCCACACACACACACACACACACACACACACACACACACACACACACACACACACACACACACACACACACACACACACTAAATAAATAAATGTTTAAAAATAATAATAATAATAATAATAATAAATGAAGTTGTGAAAATAATGCATCCTCACACTGAAAACTGCCCTCGCAAAACCAATGTGCACTGTGACAATTTTGCACCAGGCAGCAGTCCAGGGAGACAGTGGCTGAGGGACTGCAAGTGCTGTGCTTAGGATGCCACGTAGACCAGCTCAGCCATGAGTGCACACACAAATCGGCGAGATTAATTCACAAACTGCTGGGGCTGCTGAGCTGGGGGGGGAGGGGCAGAGGCACGCCATGACCTCGGGTGTGAGTGCAAAATAGTGCAGACCCACAGGGAACATCCCTGGTGCTAGCACGTGGAACGTATAAAGATGTTCAAACTGGTAATGTTTGAATAGCAAGAAACCAGACCCTGATTGCAAAATAAATAAATTCCACCCTTTGAAATGAAACCCTCATCTTATTATGGGGGCTGCTCAGCCCCATCATAGAATGGAGTTAACTGTTTACTTCCAGTAGTGGCGCACGCCTGTAATCCCAGCCTCTTGGGAGTCTGATCTACATAGTGAGACCCTGTAGACCTTTACTAAAATTTAAAAAAAAAAAAAAAAACACCTTTATTTCCAGCCTCCTGTAACTGTCCCACTTAACTTACCACTGGCGCCAGGATCTGGGGGACCCTGGCCTGGGCCACCCTAGGGGGTTCAGCAATAGACTAGGGGCAGGGGCAGGGGCAGGGGCAGGAGAACGGTGCCAGGAGACAGGCTGCTGCCTCCGCAACGTTCCCTGGGAGGCTTCCTCCATGCAACCTGCTACACTAGAGCGGTCTGTGAACTCCCCTGAGTGTCCAAGCGGGGGCAGGACCAGGCTCCACTGCCCTGTACCAGCAATAATTTGGGGGGTCTTTTGCTCACCTGTAAAACAAGGGCTTGGACAGGTGTGCTTTGCGAGGTGTGTGCTACCCGTGCTAGAGCTCTGCAAAAGGAAAGGGGACTGAGAGATGGAGGAGGGAACATAACAAAAAAAAAACTAAGGTGCCTTATGTACACAGACTAACCTCCCACAGTGAATGTCATCATTATATGCTATACACATGTACTAATTTTTAAAAAAATCTTCTAAAAACAAGTGTGCTAAAATGGGTGTGGTGGCATATGCCTGTAATCCCAGCACTCTGGAGGCTGAGGCAGGTAAATCATTAAGAGTTTAAGATCATCCTGTGCTCAATGTGAGCCCAAGGCCAGCCTGAATTGCATAGCAAGATGCTGTCTCAAAAAGACAAAAAAAAAGGCAAAAAGGTGTGTTAAACAGTGAGCCCCGCAGTCTGTCCCCAGGGTGTCCCAGGTCAGGATCTCAGGGTAGAGCCCAGGGGGTGATGTTTAGTTTGTGTGCCCAAGGGCTTTTAGGCAAACTGAAAACTCCAGGACTTTTGCAAGTGCCAGACCATGCTTATTTTTACTTCAGTTCTGATACGTAAACACCACGTGTCAAGTTTATATAACATTTACCCATTACATATACAGAAACAGTATAACACGACACCGTGAGCACGACTCACACAGTGGTCTTGCAAATACGGAGAGGAGCTGGCGGGGGAAGGAAGCAATTATTACATTAAATGCCAAATACTGTGTGCCGTTTCATGTACCCTGAATCCACCCCATGAGGATCTGTAGGGAGAAGGTGGATTACCTCTTCTCCAATATTCTTGAGTTGCAGTAGTGAGGTAGATTTTCTGATAGAGCTGTTGCAAAAATGTTCAGTAAGGCTTCTCTACTGTTACCTAGTTTTAACTCCTGCATTCACGGCCTGATTGCTCTCCACTCCTGACATCTCTGTTGACTCCAGTGTCAGCATAACACTCCTCTATTGCCTCAATGTTCAATGCACAGGCGCCGTGTATTCTTAGCCTTTCTTTTTTTTTTTTTTTTTTTTTTTTTCTTTTTTTGGTGGAACCGGGGATTAAACTCAGGCCCTTGCATTTGCCAGACAAGCACTTATTCTGCTGAGCCATCTCCCCAGCCCTTAGCCTTTCTTAATGGTACTTCAGACACTGCTGACTTAACACTTGTCCTAGCATAACTGCTTATACTCTCTGGAAGTATTTATTCTCTTTATTGCCTATAACTCTGAAGTCTTTTTTTGCATGTTTTAAATATTCTGATATATAATTAAGCATAAATGTGACTAGGGGTAAACTATTCATGTCCCTGGATTAATTTATGGAACTGTATTATTTTCATTTAAAATATCCTTAAAGTAGATACCATGCATTCTCACAGACCTGCATAAAATCCAGTCTGGTGACCAGAAGCCTCGAGTGCCTGCTTACATTTTTTTTTTTAATTTTATTTATTTGTGTGTGTGTGTGTGTGTGTGTGTGGCCAGCTCAGCCCACCAGGGGGCGGGGCTGGCCGCATGTGGTGCTGGGGGATTGAACCACAGTCCCTATGCTTTGCTAAGCTTGTTCTAAGTAGGTGCTTTAGACCACTGAGCCATCTCACCAGCCCACCTGCTTATATTTAAACTGCTCAAAATTTAAATTTTAAATTCAATGCCTCAGTAGCACTAGCCACTCCAAGTGCCCAGGCACCACACAGGTGGGCAACACCTTTGTCCTGGACACACTCCATGGATACTGTGAAGAACTGCTGTGGACTAGCTACCGAATCTAGCAGCGCTCACATTATTACAAATGCTGCATAGCTGTTTGTGGAATGAATAATGAGATCAGTTTTAACTTGTCGTGTATTTCTTAAAATATGAGTCAAAATGGAAGACAGACCGGTTTCAGTCCAAACCCACAATGTGATGCACTAGGATTAGCTAAAGTTATCCTTTCCTTCGCATCACACATTTTGGATCATATCTTCATCAGATTTATCTCTGATGAAGATCTCACGCTAGTTACATCTATAATGTGTGTTTCTCCAAATGAGTTGTCTAAATACTATCTTCCCCAACTAAGTGTTTGAAGTTGGATAGAGGATGTACATGCTAAACTTTCCAATAAATTGATTTGGTTTCCAATGTGTTAGTATCAAATTCTGAACTAATTTATTTCTTAAAGGAAGAAAGAACTCTTTAAAAAAAAAAGTTTTGTTCTTGAAAATAGTAAGCAAGTATGTTGGCACACTGTGACAAGTGTAGAAATTGGAAACTGCCAGGGCTAAATCTTACATCCAAGATGAATTTCTGCAGAGGCATGGTTTGAAACTGATCTGGTTATTTGCATGATTACAATAAATGCACCTCTGCCCGGGGCCCACAATTTACTGTGTAGTTGCACAAATCAAGGACCAAAGAAGCAAGCAGAAAGCCCACGTGGCTCCCTGCATCCCTGCTCACTTTGTCACAAAACAGGGACTCCCTCCCTGCAGCCCCTCCTAAGTGAGGATGTCTATGTATATAATTTTTTTTCCCCCTGCCACCTTTTTCAAACAGCACCTGAGCTTGCAATTTCTTTCCAGGACACTAAATAAATGCGACCAACTTAACCAGCCAAGCTGAATAATGACACACAACTTGCAAGATGGGTTCCTACAGTTCATTTTCTACAGCAGGCTTTTCTGATAAAATAAAATGTCCTCCAGCATCCTTCATAAATACGGTGTTAATGATCACAATTAAATGGAGACAGGCTCCCACAAGAAATGACTTTTTTGATTTGCTCAACAGAAAGGGTACTTTGCAGCTGTGTTCAAGGGAGAAATAAAGCGAATTCCCATTGAACTTGTCTATTACGTGAGAACAAAGTTAAGGCTTAACAGGGCAGGGGTGCTGCCCACGGTGACAAGGAAGGACCAGGGCCACCCTCACTCCTGTGCGAATCTGGTGCCTTTTCCGCCGCGGCCGTCGGATCTGAAGGACCCCGCCTACTGCCAACTCTGGTGGCCCACGAATGTCCCAGTCTTTTGCCGGACCCAGCCACGCGAACCGCCCTTCCCACTCACGTTCACGTAATCAAACCGGCAACAAACTAAGAAAGCGGCGATTGATTCGAACTCGGGAATTGGGTCCCACTTTCACAGCTACTTAGTAAGAACTTGGGAGTCCAGCAGCGGGTTTCAGCTAACACATTTTTCTTCTCTCCCCTTGGGAAGGGAGAACTCTGGGCTGCTCCGTTTTAGTCGCCCCCCTCCCCGCGCCACTGTTGGCCATTGGCAAAATCGGACACCCACCCCCACCCCAAAAGACCCAGGTCACAGGCGGAGGGGGGGGGCGGGGGGCGGGAGGGGAAGGACGCGGGAGCAGCGCCCCTCGGCGGCGAGGGCAGGAAGCGCGCCCGTCCCACCTCCTTCCTTCGGGCCAGACAATGGTTTTCTGCCCAGAAAACAAAGTTGGGAGGAAGGCGGGCGTGTCGGGGCCGGAAGGGACTCGCGCGCAAGATGCAGATCCGAGGTCGGCGAGTGTCCCCACCCTGCAGTGAGACTTCCAGGACCACGCAGAATCCAGCCCTGACCCAGCCGAGCCCCCGACCCGCGCGCCCGACCCCTTCCCAGGCCCAAGCCCGGCACACCGCGGACAATGTGCGCCCCGCCCCGCGCGCCCATTGGCCAGGGCGGTTTGGGCAGCGCGCGGAGCAGCGGGCGGTAGCGCGCGTGCGCGGGGCGGGGCGCGGCCGGGGGCGGTGCTTTGTGTGCGGCGGCGGGCGCGGGTCGCTGGGCGCGGGGTAGAGACCCGGGTTGGGGCCGCGGGCGGGCGGCGGCATGGAGGAGCTGAGCAGCGTGGGCGAACAGGTCTTCGCCGCCGAGTGCATCCTGAGCAAGCGACTCCGCAAGGTGCGTGCGCCTCCGTACCCCGTGGCCGCCGCGCGCCGGCCGCCCGGCTCACCCCACCTCTTCTCTTCGCAGGGCAAGCTGGAGTACCTGGTCAAGTGGCGCGGCTGGTCCTCCAAGTGAGTCCGCGGCGTGCGGCCAGCTTTTCCGCGCGCTCCACCTCCCCGGGGACGGAGGCAGCCTAGGGGCCCTCGGCCGTGTGACTGGGGTTCGGGGGCGTGCGCGGGCAGGGCGGGAAGTTCGCGGGATCCGCGGGCACTCCGCCGGCCCGGCCCGGGCTGCCCTTTGTTTACGAGCCCGCGGGGAGCTGCGCTTGGCTCCTCCCGCCCCGGAGCCCCTGCGCGCCGCGCCCTCCGCGCCCATTTGTTGCACGAGCCCCCCGCGGCTCCCCGCAGCACCGGGCTCGGGGCCCCCTCCCCTGCCCAGGTTTCTTCGCTGTAACTTGAGCTTCGTATTGGATGGAAGTACTTTTTCCCCTCAGTCTCTCTTCTGCTTGGGAGGGAGGGGACTTAGCGTCCCCGGAAGGGGCCCCGTCCAGAGCTGCTCGGCGGCCCCTCACTCCCTGACATCTCTTCCCCTTTCTTTGCGCGCCCCCAGCCGCGGCCCACTCCCCGCAGCCACATTGTTCTGAGACTTAGGCTGCGTCCACGCCCCTCGCGCCCCCACCTCACGGCATCCTGGACCTTCCTTCCCTTCCCTCCCTGGCTCCGGGCCAGAGTTTGGGGGATTCCCTCTGCAACTTTGCGTTTTATTGGGATTTGTTTTCCTCCAGAGCGCAGACAGCGGGAGTCCCCTTGTGGCCTGTTTTAATTGGGGGCTTGAGGTGGCAGTTTCTCTGTGGGTTTGAAGTTGTGCAGGCTTCAAGGGCCCCAAGGATCTGGGTTTTGGCGTCTGAGAACTGCCAACCGGCTGTGGTGCCCTTCCCCCGAGCGGGCCCGCGGAAGCCATCGGGATGGCCCCCTCTGGTGGGGTCTCTGTCGGTCGGACGTGTGATGGTGCCTTGCTCTTTGATTTTCCAGACATAACAGCTGGGAGCCGGAGGAGAACATTCTGGACCCGAGGCTACTCCTGGCCTTCCAGAAGAAGTGAGAAAATTAACAGCCCTTGCAGGAGCGGCGGCATCGTAGGGAAGGTGGACCCCTACAGGGTCCTTGGGCTGGAGATATAGGCTGAGGTCCAGGAACACAACTGTTGCCAGGCCTGGCTGTCAGGTGCCAGTGTCCTCTAGGTGGCTGGCTGCGCAGGCCGGTGGTGCTGTGGTCGTTCTCACAGCCAGACTTGTGAAAATGAAGCTCCCGGCGTGTTTTGGGCAAGGACTCTGGTTTCAGGACATTTGTGTGGAGCATTTTGCTGCAGACAGTGCTAAGAAACTTGCTGGCAGAATGCAGACCCAGCCTCCTGCCCCTTTGTGAGTTTGCCTTTGGGCAGGATAAGGCTCAGAGAGGGAGCTGGAGCCCACAGCAAAGAGCTGTGCCCACTTTGTGAGCAGCCATGCTTAGGCCTTAGCAGATCCAGGCTGGATTTGCTTCTGTGGTTGGAGGTGTTGTTTCTACTCCTGAGTAGGAGAGTAGGGTAAGACATAAGCTGCTGTGAGCCAGGGAGAGAAATGGTAAAAAGATGGTGATAGGTGTGTTCCCTCCAGGCGGAGCAAGATGCCAGGAGCAGCATGAACACCTTCCCCCTTGAGGAGCTTGCCTTGTCATTAGAGGCAGGTGAGCTGGTTACTCAGAAGTCTTCCCGGCTGGGGTCAGTGTGGTGGGCTTGTTCTCTGGTAACCCAGGCTGTCTTCACTTTTTCTCAAGATAGCTAGGCATTTTGGATCTTTACAGAGGTGCTGGACAGTAGGGGAAGTACTCCTGGCAAAGCAGATCAGTGACCTCGTTCCCTGCCATTTAACTCATAGCTTGATCCTGTGATCTTTTAGGAAGGGTGGCTATGCTCATGACAGCAGATGGCACATTTCTCTGCATTTAAGATAGCGTCCTCAGGCATGGATATGGCTTGCACCTAATTCCACTTGCTTGGAAGGATCACTTGAACCCACGGTTTGAGACCAGCCTAGGCACCGTGGCAAGACCCTGTCTCCCAAAACATACAGTGTTCTGGAGCTGGGGTAGAGCTGTGGGCAGTGAAAAAAATAATAGCATCGTAGTAGCTGTTGGAGAGGTAACATGTCTTTGACCATTTTGGTTAGAGCAGACAAAATGAAAATATCCAAAAGATAGAAATTTAAAAACTGGAACGGTCTGGATGGCTACACTATGGAAGAAAAAAATCGGGAAACTAGATAGTCTGCTTCCTCCCACGCAGCAAAGGGAGAGTTCTCTGTGGTGGTTCTTTGCTTGGGGAAAAGGGAACGTGAGGGAGAGGGAAAGGCACAAGTACACAGCCCTCAGAGCATAGGGGAGGGCACCTGAGACTGCAGCACGGGGCTTGTCCTTGGGAGTGCTAATCAGGTTCAAGGGCTACCCTCTAGGTCTGAAAGAAAGAATGTTTGCCTACATAATTACTGAACATCTTCTACACATAGTGCCCTTCTTGCTGGAGTGTCCTGAAATTCAACCTTGCTGTAGGGGTTGGGGGCAGGGATCTTGGCAACACTTCCTGACCTCTGATGCATGGGGGCTGCTGCAGGCCACGGGTTGAGCCCGGCCCCCGCAGAACTGGCATCTCTTTACCTCCATCAAGAGTACAGTTCAAGCACTGAGAGGTGTTAGAGAAAAGGAGGAAGTGGTGAGCCAGCAGCCTGCCAGGCAGAAGCAGGACTGGACCCGGTGGGTGAGGGCTCCCTGGGCTTAGGAGACCCTGAGGGGCATTCTTTTGCACTGCCTTGCTGTGGACTTCTGTTGAAGTAAGGAAGTTGGACTGCGTGACTCTCAAGACTTTTGATTAGCCAAGCTGGGCTTTCCATAAAATGGCCCACCTGCAGAATTTGTCTTAGAAGAGAATGTACTCCTTTCCTAACTTTGCTCTCAGATCTTTGATTTGTCTTTGGCCAAATGCAAAAGAGATGGAATGCAAAGAAAAGATGGGGTAGTAGGCCTGCTGTGGGCATTTGATTGACGAATACGTTCTTGCTACAGGACAAGATGATGAGCTGCTACAGCATGGAGTGGCAGGGAAGTTGTAGGGTTCCCAGGTGGTGGAGGGGGGTGCGGGGCTTTGTGCTGACTGCTGATGTGTCTTCAGGGAACATGAGAAAGAGGTACAGAACCGGAAGAGAGGCAAGAGACCCAGGGGCAGGCCAAGGAAGCACACGGTAATGTCATCCTGCAGCCGGCGTTCCAAGCTCAAGGTGCGTGCCTACAGGCCTGTTTGGCTCCTTACTTCCAAAGCATAGATAGGCAGGGGGAAGACTGCAGGCTAGGAGGTGGGCATTTGTATGGCAGTCTTCCCCTGCTGCCTCTCCAGGCCTCTGCCAGCAGGGGGCACCAACAATCCCACAGCCCCTATCCTTTCCACCTCAGCAAGGCTGAGCCTGCTTCCCAATGTTTTTCCCTGTTGTTGTGGCTGTCTATTCCGTGCTCCATCCTACTGGGTAACTGATCAAACTTAGCTACCACCCATGTCTCCCTTTCCTCTAGAGATTTTATCATTGGGAACCAATAAATAAGTATAGCCGGGCATGATGGCCAGTGGCTGTAATCCCAGCAGCACTCTAGGAGGCTGAGGCAGGAGGACAAGTGTTTGAAGCCAGCCTGGGCATATTGGGGACTTAACAGGATCTTGTCTCAAAATAAAAACTAGGGAGCCAGGGAGATGGCTCAGTAGAATAAGCACTTGCCTGGCAAGCACAAGGGCCTGAGTTTAATCCCTGGTTCCGCAAATAAATAAATAAATAAATAAATAAATAAAGGGTTTGGGGTCATTGTGAGGGTCCTGGGTTCAGTCTCTGGTACTAGGGGGTTGAGGCAGAAAGCATGCATGTACCCTATGGGCTCAGATTGGCTGCATAGATGTGAGCCTGCAGGACAAACAGTGCCACCAGGATGTTGGGCCACTCCAGCACCTTACTGAGTGTACCATAAATCCAGTGGCCTGTCGTTGCAGGGCGGGGGGCTCGGGAACTGAGAATGGTGGTGCTGTGCTGGTATCTGTGGCCAGTGTCCTGTCATCTCAGCCCCATAACAGATCACAGACAGTGGAAAAAGGGGTTCTGGCCTCGGTCTTGTGCGTGTCCTGGGTTCTGAGGAACTGCCCTTGTGTCTTGGCACATGGTAAGCTGCACATGCTGCTGCAGCTACTTCCAAAGACCATCCATCCTTAAGTTTCCCTGCATAGAATCACGTTGGCTGGTCTGTCCTGATTTCACTTGTCTTCAAAGCTGTCCACTCCATCTTCCTTTTGGTATCTTCCTCTTTAGTGCAGACCTCAGAAGTCCCACTGATACGAAAAAGATTTCTGTGGGTAACAAGACCAGTGCCGGTCAAAAAGGCAGAGGCCTCTAGGTCTGACCAGATAGCTCTGCTTTTGGTGGCTGAGCGTTGGCTCTATCTCCCAAACTCAGCCTTGTAACCATTCAGCATGGAGACCAAGAAGCAGGAAAACACAGTTATTTACCACTTGGGCTGACACCTAGAAGAGAAGCATTATGTGCTGGAAGGCTCTGAGGGGTCAGCAGGGAGGGGAAGCAGGTTCTATGCTGGTTCCCACAAGGCGGCCCTGTGGTCTGCTTTATTCAGCTCAGGGCCAGGTGAGACATGTGACTCTCGCCCTTCTCTAATTGCCTTAAATGTGTGTGCTCCAGAGTGTGGAGTGTTGGGTGTGCTCTCACCTCGCTATGATGACTTTTTTTTTTTTTTTTTTTTTGGTGGAACCAGGGATTGAACTGAGACTCTTGCACTTGCTAGGGAAGCGCTCATTCCACCAAGCCATCTCCCTAGCCCCTATGATGACTTTTTGCAAACACCCCATTTTTTTTTTCCTAGTCTTAATTTTGCATTTCACAATAACTTTTTTTTTGGCAGAACCAGGGATTGAACTCAGGCCTTTGCGCTTGCCAGGGAAGCGCTTATTCCACTGAGCCATCTCCCCAGCCCCCCACAATAACTTTTAAAAAACTGTTAAGTCCCTTCAGAATCAGTGTAGTGGGTAGTTGCTGCCCTCTGGCTGCCTCCCTGGCCTGGAAGCCCCAGCAGCTGCTGGCTACAAGGTACCTGGTGCTCATGGGGAAAGCCTGGCACCAGGCAGCGGAGATAAGAAGTTTCCACCCTTGTCTTTCTAGGAATCCGATGCTCCCTCCAAATCCAAATCCAGCAGTTCCTCCTCTTCCTCTACATCTTCCTCCTCCTCCTCAGACGAAGAGGATGACAGTGACTTAGAAGCCAAGAGGGGCCCCCGAGGCCGAGAGACCCACCCAGTGCCTCAAAAGAAAGCCCAGATCCTGGTGGCCAAGCCCGAGCTGAAGGATCCCATCCGCAAGAAGCGAGGACGCAAGCCCCTGCCGCCTGAGCAGAAGGCGGCCCGCAGACCCGTGAGCCTGGCCAAGGTGCTGAAGACTGCTCGCAAGGACCTGGGGGTCCCGGCCGGCAAGCTGCCCCCCCCACTCAGTGCCCCTGTGGCAGGCCTGGCAGCCCTGAAGGCCCATACCAAGGAGACCTGCAGTGGCCCTGGTGCCATGGCCACCCCAGAGAACCTGGCCAGCCTGATGAAAGGCATGGCAGGCAGCCCCAGCCGTGGCGGCATCAGCTGGCAGAGCTCCATTGTGCACTACATGAACCGCATGAGTCAGGGCCAGGCCCAGGCCACCAGTAGACTGGCGCTCAAGGCCCAGACCACTGGCAAGTGTGGCCTTGGGCTGGACCTGAAGGTGAGGACGCAGAAGGGGGAGCTGGGGATGAGCCCCCCAGGAAGCAAAGTTTCAAAGGTTCCTGGGAGCGGCGGAGCTGCTGAGCAGAAAGGGGGTGGCACAGGGGGGGCTTCCCATGCCCACAGCAGTGGCAAGGTCACCACTGGGTGCCCAGGTTCCCAGCTAGCACCCACCCAAGAGCTGAGCCTGCAAGTCTTGGACTTACAGAGTGTCAAGAACGGCATGCCTGGGGTGGGCTTGCTTGCCCGCCATGCCCCAGCCACCAAGGCTGCCCCTGCCACCACCCCAACCACAGGAAAGGGGACCGGAAGTGGCTCCACTGGGGCAGGCGGGGCCTGTGCACCCATAGACATGGGCAAAGGTGAGAAGCTGGTCTCCAGGGCGGTGGCTATGCCCACCCCTTCTGGCAAGAGGGAGAACGCCAAGGGTGGCACAGCCTCCAGCGGGCAGGAGGGCCACACAGCCACAGGGGAAACCCGCAAGGCAGCCGCCCTCTCTGAGATGAGCACAGGTGAGGAGAACAGCACTTCAGACTCAGACCCTGATTCATCTTCGCTGCCAGGGGCTGGGCAAAGCCTGTCTGTTTCTGTCCAGACCAGCCAGGACTGGAAGCCCACTCGAAGCCTCATTGAGCATGTCTTTGTCACTGACGTCACAGCCAACCTCATCACAGTCACTGTGAAAGAGTCCCCAACTAGCGTGGGCTTCTTCAGCCTGAGACATTACTGAAACCTCTGTCACCCTGGCCTGTGGCCCCCAGCCACTCAGGTCTGCCTGCCTTCCTGTTTGGTTTTGCTCTGGCGGGTGACCCATACATAGCACAGCCTTCGTGAGGGCCTGTGGCTGAGGAGTGAGGTCTCCTTCACAGGCAGGCAGAATTGTCCTCATTCCGCCTTGTGCTGGGACTTGGTAACACACTGTCTGCTTGCCTTGCTGGGGCCTGACTTCCCCACTGCCCTACCTCTCCAGGCCCCCACCTCAACCCACGTCTCTTCAGAACCTCTGGGTGGTCCGTGCCTCAAGCCCCCAACTCAGCCGGAGCCTCCAGCCTGGTCTCGTGAGATCAGAGGCAGGGTCAGAGAGGCTTCTCACATAGCTGCTTCCCCAACATGCAGGGAGAAAAAGCGGGATTGGGGGACTCGTGTCCCCTCTTCCTGGCGCCATTCTCTAGAAGGTGGAGTGAGGCAGGCCAGGCCCTCCTTCAGAGTGGTGCCTGGACCTCTGAAGGTGAGTTTGGGGCCCTGGTGCCTGGTGGGCCTTAATGTAAAAGGACAGGTCCAGTGTGCAGGTCACCTGGCTCTGGTTCAGAGTAACATCTCCAACATCCAGGTGCTTGCCTGAGAAAGTCCAGCCCCTCTGGTGCACTCCAGGGGTCTCCAGGTTCAGGAGGAGGACTAAGGGTCCCAGCTGCCCCCTTCCTGCCAACCTGCACCCCAGTGGGAAGTGACCCTTGGCTCCCTGGAATGCAAGTTCTGGGGCTGAAGCCCTGTACTTGGGGTGGAAAGGCAGGAAATTGAGCTTGGGTATGGAATGGGCCTTGGCATGTGAGCCTCTCCACAAGCTAGGATTTGCCTTCTGGTGACAAGTGACCAGCCTAACTCCTGCGGTGCCCAAAGCTGCCCTCCTCAGCCGCTAGAGAACCAGAGCGCAGGCGTTTGCTACAGCCCACCATGACACCCCAGTGAAGAGGCAGTTGCTGGGGGCTGCTTTCCTTGACAATCTCCCCCACTTTTGGGGGTTCCATTTCTGCTCCCTCCCAGCTGAGAGCTGAGAAATGCCTGCACATCTTTTGAGGTTCCACAGCCAAGGAGTCTTGGCTTTGGGGCCCCCCTGTTCACTCTCCTGGGGAATCTTCAAGATTTCAAGTCTTTTTTTTTTTTTTTTTTTTTTTAATCAAGCAATCAGACTTACAACCTGGTGCTTGCCAGGCAGACGCTATGCTGCTGAGCTCTATCCCTGGGCCTCCAAGTTCTTTTTCAACCACCTTCTCCCTGCCCCATGCCAAGGTGACTGCATGTGTCCCAAGAGTTGGGGGCAGAGGTGACCAGAAGGTGGCAGCCAGTCCAGTCAATAAATGTGATGCCAAAAAAGGGGGGGAGGATGAAAGGTCTCTGGATCTACTTCCCTTGGTCACCCCACAAATGGAGGATTGTGAACTGGGTGCCTTTTGGGGAGTTTCTGCCTTTTCTAAAACCAGCCCCAACCGAGAGAGAGTCTGGTTTCCGGAGACCTCCCAGACTACAGGGTTTCCCTATACCTCACCCCCTCACCATACAGGAAGAGAAGGCCTTTGTGTAGCCAAATTGACCTCAACAGTGTGCCTTGGGGGACAGCCCGCATCCATGACTACCCTGAGGGGCGCCCAGACTTAGCCTCCAGGTTAGGGCAATGGGAAGGACAGTGCTGTGCTGTGTTCAGCCCCCCTTGCCACCACCCTCCCTGTGGTGTCAACAGCTTCTTTCCCACCAGGCCCTGTGCAACCTTAGAAGCCCTCTGTGGGGTCCCTGACCTGTTGAAGAGGTGGGGTGTCTTGGCTGACCAGCTTTGTCCCCAGCTGCCAAGCCTCCAAACCCCAATTTGGTGCCTTTCTACCAGCTACATCAATCCCAAAGTTTGAATCCGCGAACACCTGGCTCCTAGCCCCTTTGCCTTTGTGCTGTGTTGTGTGTGTCTGGTGCTGGGACCCCAGCAGTTCATGCTGAGAATGTGTGCGCTGGTGCAGGAGCCTTGCGGGAGATGCTAAGTTAGCCATCTTATGTTTACCAATAAATAAAAGTCCTGTTTGTATTTTTATTTGCTGCTATTCATGTGTGTAGCCCAGGCATTAGCCACACCTCTAAGACTCCTTGTTCTTTTATTCCTGAGGGTCCTGGGTAAACTGTACCATGGTGCTTGTGTCTGGAGTGGGTGTGTTAACCTTTTTTGCTTCTGTGTTGGGTGGAAAGAAGTGGCTAGCCTGACCTCTTCCCTGGTTTGGCTGATTTCTGTATGTGTTTTTGGTACCAAAAAGAGTGTTCCACACTTGGGGTACACTCCAAATACTGGCCTGACTAGAGAGCAAGCCAGGCCTGAGGTTTTATCTAGAAAACTTGGGGGAGAACCAGAGCTTTGAACCAGTGCCAATCACTGGCTTGATTTGTGCTTTTTAATTAAAGCCAAATCATTCGTGTATGCCACTTCCAACTGCTTTAAACTATTCCTGTTTGTTTGCTTTCTTAAGCAGAGAGCAAGCTTGGGTATGTTACTACCCTGGGAAAACTTCAGATTTTTGCTCTTGACAGGACTGCAGCTTCTCTCCTCACCCCACCCCCCCTTTTTTGATGGAGCCCAGCCAGGTCAAGGAAATGCCTTCCCCCAGGAAGCCTATAGAGGTTTGGGGGAGGGGGGCTCAGAGCAGGCAAAAGGTGCCTCCTAGATGACCAGATTTTTACCCAAGTGCATCTAGTAGTTTTGAGGTTTTCTAGTATTTTCAGAAAACTAACATTAGCATAGGTTATGAGGGTTTTTATAAACTTATGTTTATTTATTTTGAAGAAAAAAAGATTTGTTCTTTTGGTTAACTCTTAGTATACCAATAAATATTTTTGTAAACCTTTCAGCCTGGTGTATGTTGTGAGTGATGCCTGGGGACAAAGACTTCATGTTGCCCTTGGGGAAAAAATGCCTAAGATGTGGACTGAGTAGCTGAGTCAGGAAAAATCCACTTTCACACACGGTACAGGAGAAGATGTCTTGGGGAGCAAGAGGTGGGGCTTGAGTGTATACAGTGGTCCACAATGAAGTTTGGGTTGTCATGCAGGGCTCTGTGTATGAAGGGGTGCCCCTGACATCTGGTATGTACAGGTCAGGGCCACTGCAATATAATTCACTTTGAGACTATCCCCAGAAGTACATTAAAAATTAAGGGCATTCAAAGATAGCGTGCGGTTGTTGATCTCCCTGGTGCATGTGTGACCCTGAAAGGACAGAGAGCACTACGAAATTCTAGGGAATCACTATACAACACAAGAATCCTTAGTCTGCAGCCACTGGATCTCCAAACCCATGGTTCATACTAAAAAGATGATTTGCGTATTATATAACCTTCCCCACCCCACCCCCGCTTAAGCTTTGTGTTACCCTCCACATGAATTTATTCATAAAATCAGCCTCCAGGGACAACCCAGCTTTCTTTGAAGAAAGAACTTGGGTCTGGACGCTGGCCACCCCTGGCTGGGAGGCTGGTTGAGGCGTGGGCCTGAATGTCTCCTTCCAGGAGGGGGTCCGCTCTGCAGATAGGAACGCAGCCAGCTCTAGGCTCCAGAAAGACGTTTCTTTTGTTGCTTTCTGAGGCTCTATTTTATTTTGGCAAAGGTGAGCAGGGGCGACCCCAGAGGCCCTGTCCTCTAGCTTTTGCTCTCAAAAGAGCAGAAAACGGTTGCAGACAGTCAGAAAGGAGCAGACTGACCACGATGTCGAGTCCGGCTTTCATGAGAGCCCATTTCTACAGGGAGTCGCCAGACGGAGCAGGACCCTGGCCCACAGAGGCCTTTGTTAGTTTCTGCGCTGCTGATCTGATCGCCTAATCCACCGCCTTCTCAGAAGAATGGACAAGGCTGCAAGGGGCCCGACCCTGCCCAAAGGCCCTGCCCTACGTCCAGGCCTCAGGCCACTCCAACCAACCCCAGGGCCTCCGGAGAACAGAGATCAAGCGGCTGGACACCTCCTTCCTTCCCTCTCCTATCGCGGCTGCAGATGGTTGTCCGTGGACCAAGCATCCAGCAGTGTCTTTGGGTGGACGGGCTTGAGGTTTGCTGTGCTCGGGTCGGGGCCAGAGAGGCACACGCCTGGAGGAGAAGTGGGGGTGCGTGTGGGGGCGGGGGCGAGGGCGAGGAGACAGAATCCGCTGCCCCTAGAGGGCGCGCGCGTCCCACTGAGTTCGGGCCTCCTGCACCTCCGACGCGCAGGGACACCCCCACCCGCAGTTCTAGGCAGTCAGCTACGCGACGCGCTTGTATCGCCTGATCCCCGGTGGCTGCGAGCGGCTCCCAGTATCCCTCCTGGATGTCTAAGATCCCAGCAGGAAACCCCGGCCTGCCGACCACAGCCTTGATCGCCACTGTCAGACTCCGGGGTTCCTGGGCCACCTTCCACGCTGAATGGCAACGAGCAGGCACTCCAAACTCTAGCCAGGACTGAGGTACCCCTAGAACTCAAAGGCATTTCGGGTGAAATGAGAGGTGCCCACAGGGACATCTCTCCCATGCACAACACAGAGCCTGGACCAGGACCTGTGCACTGTGAACATCAGCGGAACAGAAAACGGGCCCGATTCGACACTATGCGGAGAGCCATAAAGACTCGGTTCGACCCGCTCCGAGTGGTGCAGGCTCTGTACTGGTGGTGACTACACTACGTGGCCCTGTCCTCGGGATGCAGGAGACCAGTCAGGGCCGAAGACGACGCACGCGGGCTCTGTTTCCCTCATGGGAACATGCTTGCGAGACAGAAATCGTCCCGGGGGAACTCCTGGTCAAAGCCAAGATGGGTCGTGGCCAGTGAGCCCAGAAAGGGGCAGTTGGCGCCCTCAACTCCCTAAGCGCACTCCACACCTAGGAGAAAGGCACGAAAAAAAGCCTGGCCCGGCGCGGCGGCAGCGGGGTCACTGATGCCGCGACACTGGGATCCGGCCACCCAAAAGCCTTCCTGGGGCCCTGACGCCCACCGCCCTGCAGAGGTCACAGCCTAGGAGAGGCAAGGTAGCCTCTCAGGCGCAGATCTTGGCGTTCTGCTGGGCGTCCACGTGCAGGCTGCTCACGTCGGATGGGTGCTAGAGCCCCGCGGCCGGCTCTACGGCTTCAGGTGTGGGCGCGCCCTGCAACGCAGGACCTTCGAGCCCAAACCCCAGCACTGAGGGGAAGTGGGGAGGGCAGGGACAAGGGCAAGGGCGAGGCCGAGGACTGCACCGCCTGGGGCAGGCGAAGCAACGGCCTCACCCCTTCCCTCGGTTTCAGCAGATATCCTCAGCCAGTGTTTTCTTGGAGGGGTAATGGTTGCAGGGAACCATGGATGTGGGATTGGATGCTACCCAACGACCTCTTTGAGAATCCAGGGTAGCTCTGTGATACGAGCCTCGAGACCCCACCCCCACTGCTGCCAAGTCTGTTGCCCGCAGGGGCCGAGAACACGGTCCACCAGCATCCTCGCTCTACCGCCCTGGACTGTCCCTTGCCCAGCAGTGGGGTATCTGCCATCCAAGCAGACCAGGGGCAGAGAGGCTGTGGGGACTTGTGAGAGCGCGCAGGACTACAACACGGAAGCGCCGGGTTCACTAATCACATCAGCGCGCTCCGCGCCGGCTCGGAGCAGGCAGTTGCCTAGCAATATACTCGAATTCAATTCCTCAATCAATAGGCGAGAGTCTCTCTATTTCGGGGATCGCTGGTGAGTCTGGGTGGGTCTGGGGCAGGGGTACCTTGACAGCGTTGAGGACCAGGACAGGAAAAGCAATACAGCAAACCACAGAAGTTCCTGGCCTTGGAGATCCTCGAGGTCCTGCCCTGGGATGGGTCGTGGGGGGAGGGGGAGCCCGCCGGAGGAAAAGGGAATACCGAGGACTGGTGCATCTTCCCAGGGTCCCCAGATCTCCCAGGGTCCCAAAGAAATGCAGGTGGTAGGAGTGGAAAGCCACCGCCCGGGGGCGGGGCAGCGAGTGGGGGGGCTAAAGGGATCCTTTCCCTGGCCCTTCCCAAGCCCACCTCTTCCCCCTGCTGTTAGAGGAGGACTTTTTCGGGGAATCAGTAGCATCTAGGGAGAAAGGGTGCGAAGGTGGGGCTGCGTTGGGGTAATGAGAGGGGAGGCACAGGTCGGTTCTGCCCTCCCACACAAGCAGCCTCTTCCCCATGTTCAAGGAAAAATAGGAATAAAGAATAAAACCAAGACGCGTATCTATTTACAAAGTATATATTTAAACACGTAAAAAGCGGTATTGGATACAGACATTCACGACCGTAGAAGATAGGTACCAAAGCTTCACTCTTGAGCTGAGGCGGAGATCAATTCGAGATTTGTACAAATCTGAAAATTAAATACACCCAACAGACACACATCTCGAGCGATTGCAGACTCCCAGCCACGTGGCCCCGGCTCCTGCCCACCCACCCCGAGGTCAGCGTCTCAAAAGCTTGGGGGACACACATGACGGCCACGAACAGACAACAGGACGCGGAGCGTCGGTGCAGAACCACGTTGGCCGGGGTAAGGCCGGAGGGAAGGGGCGAAGTCAGCCCTGGCAGCTGGGAGGTGGAAGCAAGGAAGGACAGAAGAGGAGGGGGCAGCTAGGTAAACCACGTGTCCCCGAGCCACCACCGTCCACTCGCTTACAGACTTGCCCCTTATGCTCCGGTTCATCTGAAAATAGAGTCGACATTTAAACAGACACACTCGGTCAACGGTGCTTCTTTATACAAAGTCTAAAATACCAGTTTTACAAATGTGAGCAGATAAAAATCCCCATTCCAGGGGCTTCTCCCTTGGTGCAACTTGATATTCAAAATCATGTAGCACACCACTTTTCTTTTTTCCTCTCTCTTTAAAGGCTAGAAAGTCTGGAGGGGAGAGAGGCTGAAAAACTGAAGGTGGGGAACCAGTCGTGCGGAGGACCACCAGAACCCTTCTGGCCCCCCAGCGCGAATCTCCCCCAGGGCAGCCGGGCACCCAGCCTTGCTCGCCCAAGTCTGAGTTTCGCCCAGCTCGCAGAGCCCCACACTCCTCCCTTGACAAGCCCTGGAAGTTAGTTCTTTGCTGGCCCTTTAAGGGTGAGGAGGGCGGAGAGGCTGCAGAAACCAAGCTGGAAGGGACAGGGTCGGGTAAGGGAACCGATTTGTGCTTTTAGGTCGGTGAAGGGTGCGCAGCTCTGGCGCGGTGCGGAGCGGAGTCTACCGGGCGGGGGCGTGGCGGGCAGGGCGCTGTGCATCACCTCCCCCGCCTCGGCAGCCAGCACCCCAACTCCAGCGTCTCCTCCCCCTCGGCGGGGTTTGAATGTCGAGTTCACAGAGAGAACACTCCGCGAATCGAAAAGGCCTATAAATTACAGCTTTTGCTTTTAAGGAAGGGGGGCAGGAAAAAGCAGAAGTTCGGATGCGCATTCTTGGGTGAAAACCCCGCCTCTCATCTCCTTCCCCTTGCGCAGCTACAGCCCCTGGGCAGTGAGTCTCGGGCTGGCAGGCCGGTGGACGGCGACCCCGGCCCGGGCCTCCTAGCTGCCGGGTGCACAGCTCTCTCCCGGCGCGCCCGCCACCCGTCCCGCAGGGCAGGACGGCCTGGCAGACATACGTCCCTCCGAGTGGGGGCCCGCCCTCCCCGAAGGTGGGAAGCTGTCCAAGTCTTCCTGGGCGGTGGGGCCACCGTCTCCTCTCCTGGCGAAGCTAGAGGACGCGCAAAGGAAAAGTTCACCCGAACACTTTTCTTATAAAACAACTGTCTGGAGCTCTGGGCACTGACACGCAATCCTCCTAATTTATCCTGGCATTTCGGGAATGTAAACAGATTCGCTGGATTTCTTTTCTCTCCATGGAGTAAGGAAAGGAACTGAGGGACCAGGGAGATTTCATCCACAAGACATACACACGATCCGCGTGTACAGCACACACACCTCCCGTAAAGTGCATTTTCTGGTGTGGTCCTGGGGGAAACGGCTCCCCACCCACCCGCGACTTTTTACCTTCAAAGTCACACAGGAAGAAGTTATTCAAGTTAATATTTTTCCCTTAATAGACTTCATAATCAAAAAAAAAAAAAAGAAAGAAAAAGAAAAGAAAAGAAAAAGAAAAAAAAAGCAGACTGACCCCACCCCACCCCCTTTTTCTGATTGGGGAGCCAACCTTTTGTTGGCCTAACTAGCCAATAGGAAGAGAGAGAAAACCCGGTGCCAGGAGTCTGGCATTGGGAATGTGGAGAAGGAAGGAGGGTTGTGGTGGGCAGGCTGAGTCCCTCCAGACACCCTCAGAAACCCAGTGCCCAGGTCCCCAGGGACTACAGGTCCCTCTCCAGTCCCAACTCAGCCTATCTGATCCCACTAAGCCACTTTCTCTCTCTTCTTATTCAAATAAAACAACTTCAAGAGTTGAAATATATATATTTAGATATTTTTCTTAAATAACATATTTACATCTAATAGAAAATATAAATCTAGAGATAAATTTCCAAACAAAAGTGAAAGAGAAGAATGAAGAATGAAAAAGGCTGACAGGTGTGAAGTTAGGGACAGGACAAGCCAGAGGCCACATCCCACCCAGAAATAAAAAGCACTATGCCAAGTTTGCGCTCACTCTCGCCTGTTCTTGTCCTGGGCTCACCCACCCAGAAATTCATCTTTTCTCTTTAAAAAAACCTTGGTCCGTGTTACTTTCCTTAATGGTGACCGTTAAAAAGTTTGAGGTCACATCAGTGACCACCACCTTCTCCAGGTTAGTCAGAGAGGGGCTCCAGGATTCCTCCTCTGGGTCCCCCAGGATTCTGGCCACTGGGATTCTGGCGATGAGGGAGGGCCTTCCCCCCTGGGCCCCCATGTCCCGGTAGAGGCTCCCCACAGAGCCTGGGGTGCCTGAGCCATGCCGGACCCTGGGGCCACCAGGGTCAAGGGCACCCTGGCCTTTGGCCTCCAAGAAGGCGGCCCTGTGCTTTATGACCCTGGCTGGGAAAGTGTCCACAGCCAGCTTGCTTGTGGCCTCAGCTGAGCTAGGGCTGGTCACACCACACTGCACCAGGTCCGAGTCCTGCCTTCTGGCCAGCTGGATCACACTGTGGCCAGCTGGGAATTTTCCTGTTCCGGAAGGGATGTCATCCAGCTTCCTGCCTTTGAGGTAATCTCCGAGGCCATCGCTGGGCTCTCCCAAGGGCCTCTGTGAGGGATCCAGGAGCTCCTTCCGGGGTTTGGGGCCTCGCTTCTTGGAGCTGTCCCCTGGCGAGCTGGGCTTATCGTCCACACGGCTGGCACCCCTTTCTCTTTCTCGTTCTCGCTCCCTCTCTCGCTCTCTTTCCCGCTCTCGATCCCGATCTCTGTCCCGGTCCCGAGAAGGCTCTGGCCGACAGGTGCTACTGGTGCTGCTGCTGCTCCCTGGTGGGGACAGACCCATGTTCCGAAGGCCCTCTCGGGCTCGGGAAGTGGAAGCCAGATCCTGAGGTGAGCGGCCTGGGTAGGGAATCCTGATGCCTCTGGCTGAGTCACTTCTGAACTCATAGGTTTTGGCCTTTGCCTTAGCCTGGGCCTGCAAAGAAAAAACTCCATTAGGAAGAAGCAGTGTCTGTCCCTCCTCCATCCTTGACCTCCAGGCCCCACCTTCTGATGCCTGGGAAGTTCTACAGGGTGGGGAGGTGGGGCTTAATGGTAGCAGTTTGGGGGAAGGGGAGAGAGCTTGTCCAGAAGCAGCCATTTGCAGCCAGCCCACTTGTATGCCATTATACATCCATTTGGGATGGCTGGAATTGGGGGCACAAAGGCATTCTAGTGAAGCTGAGCCCCTCCTCCCAGACACTCTCAGGTACCATTGCCTTGGTGACCTGTTGTCAGGGGACTCCTAGATTACACATAGGCAACACATATGGACACCCCCTTGGTCACAAGCCCTGGTGGGCACTTTGCACTACGTGACTTCATGATATTGCAGTTCACATTGCACACAGTCAACCTACCTTGAGGAGGAAGGTTTTGGGTTTGGGTCCTCGTTTTTTGGGCCCATAGAGCTCCATCTCTCGTTCCCTGGAAAAAGGAGAGAGGGAGAAGGGGGTGTGGGTAAAGTAACCAGGTGGATTTCCAGTCCAGATAGGATGCAATCTACCCCTCATCTTTCCAAATGAACTGCTGGGGCTCAGAAAGGTCTGTACCTTTCTTCAAAGGCTGCAAGCAAGCGAGCATCCAGGATGTTTTCCTCTGGCTCCCATGTGCTGTATCTAGAGGAAATCAGGAAGAAGTGGGCGTTAGTGCTGGTGCAGGGAGAGTGGAGAGTGTGAGCGTGTGTGTAACTTTTCTCAGTACCGTGTATTGTATTTCAACGCAAAGGGGGAATAAGAAAATAAAGAAACCTTCCCAATAATAGTCTAGGGTTGACAATTGTATATAACCTACTTACTTCTGTGACCAGCCCTTCCATTTCACGAGGTATTCCATGCGTCCCTGCAGATGCAAAGGGAGAAATGTGTGTGTGTGCGTGCATAGGGAGGAATGCATGACGAGGACACAAGAAATACATGTGAAAAATGCATGCACCAAATGAATGCCTGAAACCCCACCGCCAAAGACACGAGCCTGCTGCATCACCCCTGCAAGAAACGCTGCACAAAGTGCATGCACCGGCATTCATCTCCCACCCCGCCCCCCACCCATGCAATCTGTGCATCGCTGCAAGTCTAAGGAGAACGCTGGGGCTCAGAGCCGCCGCCGCCGCCACGGCCGCGGCCGCTGCTGGGACCTGGGGGAAGGGAAGCTGGCTGCAGCAGGGGGAGGGAACCCGGGCCGGAGGGGAGGGCCCGGCCGCGCCGAAGCCGGAGACCCGGAGCACCTACTTTCCGTATGCGCCGCTTCAGGAGGGCTTCGGCCGCGAACACCCGCTCCCCCACCGCTGAAAGCTCCATATTGACTCGCCGCTTCCCCCCTTGGCCGCTTCCAGGAGCAGAAAAGCAGCAGCCAGCGCACGACAGACCATAATACTCTCCCGCTGACGTCAGTTCTTCTCCCCTCCCCGCGCGCGCTCGCTCCCCGGCCCCCCGCCCGCGTCGCTGTGCTCGGCTCTCTCCTCCCCCGCCCGGCGCTTCCTCCCGCCCCACGTGTTGCTAACGACGTTGCTAAAGCCGAGCGGCCGAGGCCTGAACCCTGCACGTTGATTGGATAAAATCCAGGCCACGCCCCTCTCCCTTTCTCCCCCGCGTTGCTACGTGACCCGCGTTCCAATTGCCACGGGGCGGAGTCCGTTGCGACTCCAGAGACCCGGCGCGCGGAGGAGGGGGCCGCCGGCGGAAGTGACGCCAAAAGAAGGCGGGTCCTGCCTCTGTCAGTCTGTGGGGCTGCTAGGGGGACAGGCTACCCTGTGTCCTCGCTCGGGCCCCCCTCCCCCGCTGCCTAGTTGTCCCTCCGGTGCTCCACGACCCTACTGCTCTAGCTGGGATCCCCGCGGCGGTGTCAGCCAGGCCCCGCCCCTCGGCAGACCCCGGCCCGCCCTACCCCCACCGCCTGGGACTCGCGCCGGCCCCTCCCCCGCCGTCCGCACCGCACAATACACAATGCACAGGTGCTGGGGCGCCGCAGACCGCGCCTGAACCCCGACACCCCGAGCTGCGCCCCCAGCCTCTCTTCGCTGCCGACCCTTTACCCCCACCTTACATCACACCCGACCCCCGGTCTCCATGGCAACGCCCCCCCCCCCGCCGTCCCCAGGCCCGGCTCACTAACAAATCAATGTGCCTGCTCCTCGATCTCTGGTCGCGCTGCGCTGCCCTCGCCCACCCTGCGGGCCCAGTGAGCCGGGCTGGCCGGAGCGCTCTCCCAGCCCGGAAGCCCAGCACGGTCCGGGTGGAGGCCAGCTGCTGCCGCCCAAGCCCTCCCGTGACTGGGAACCTGCAGAGACGTCCCACTCCCCATTCTGTCCCCTGACTGTCCCAAACCCCCGGAGTCACCTGTCCCTGCCCCCAGCCCGCGATGCCAGTGCCCGCCGGGCCCAAGCCTCTGGCATTGCCAACCCCGCCTGCCCCTGTCAGGCTTGGATGTGTTAAGGGCATGGATGACCATCAGAGCAGAGCCTGGAGCTTGGCCAATGTTGGGGTGCGAGTTAGGGGGCGCGGCGGCTTCCTCTAGAACCCGGTGACTGCCCCGCGAGCACTTCCTGTCCGTGACCGTTCCCGGTGTGCGCAGCAGACACTCGGCGAGAAACGACGGTGCGGAAGTTAGGGGGCGGTGCGGGGTCCACTGCGGGTTTGGCTAGAGGGTGTCGCAAGCGAAGTTGGCGGGCTTCAGAAAAGGGGCAAGGGCGGGACTGTAGATCTGTAGGTTCTGCACACCCACGTGTGCGCTCGCACACCTCCTTCTCAGTTCTCCGCAACTGGTGGCAAGGACAGCGGCGAGGACGGCAGCCGCAGTCTGGGCCCAGAGACCCCGCACCCTTTTCTCTTACAACTCAAGCTCCAAATGAAAACGCCCCCTCCCTGGAATCCACGATTTAGTTAAAACACCGATGACAAACTTGACAGGAAGCTGTTTCCCCGAGGCAGAGATGGGATGGAATGGACTGGGAGAAAGGAAGGGGACAGGAATGATAGGTAGGTAGAGAAGAAGCAATCCAAGGAGTTTGGCTGCAAGGGTGGGAACCCCGGAGCCGTAAACTAGCCTCCGGGCCACAGCAAGGTGCGGGACGGGTACAGCGCGGTCCTCGGCCACGGGGCAAGGCGGCGCTGAGTACGCCCTCCCTCGAAGTCCTCTCTCCCCTGGAAACACGGGTTCCAGTTGGTGGCCTGGCTCCTAGATTTTGTAAGGTGAGCACTGACCTACAGTCCCACCTCTCCAGCCGTCCTGACTAAACGAACAGCGCGCCTTGGACTCCCAGAACGCCCCGGTGACCCGTGCCCGCCGCCTTCCAGAGGCCGCCGATGGCTGTGTCCTTAATCATAAAAAGTCATTCCCGGTAACAAATAGTTTCGTCGGCCGGTGCCGGCGATACAGCTGTTTCTGTTTAAGCTTAAATACTTTCCAACAGTTTGGGCAGTAAAAATAAAGTCAGCCTCAGCCGCCTGTAAGTGTCTGGTTTCCCCGCCCAGAGAAAGCCCACCCTAAACCCTGGGCCCAGGTCGCTCTGTTCGCCCCACCTGCCCCGTCTTGGAATCTGCTGCCCGCTGTGGGCGACCACTGCAGCCCACCCCGATGCTCGGCTAGCTCTGTCCACCGTTCTTCGCCGACTGTAGGGCTGCCTAGAACAGCAGAGAGGGAGCTTGTCTGAGCAGCGGCGGACTAGACCCCCCCTGGCCTGCCGGCCTCCCCCACCTCTGGGAAGCTCTCCTGCACCCGGGAAAAGCAGCGGTTCCCCTTCTGCGAGCATTTTCTGCAATCCAGTCCTGAGCTCTGCTGCGTTACCAACTGGGTCTTGCACGCGGTGCTCAGAGGTCGGTGGATGGTTTCAGTTTCAGGATAGGAAAAAAAAAAAAAAAAAAAAGAACACTAGCTTTACTCCTCCCGCCCTGTCCTCCTCTTTTCTCTCCCTTTCTCTTGTAGCCTTCCCCTTCGGTCTCATTTTTCTTTCTTTGCCTAAGTACCTCTGCAACTCCTGGGAAGAGAAGAAAGCCCCAGGCGTTACCAGGCATGGCTCCCTCCTCTGCAAGGGTATTTGATTTGTTTCTTCATCCTCACCCTGTTTTCCTGCCGGTCTTCATGCTGGATACGATTCTTTCCAAATAGCTTGCTCCAAACAGAAATAGCACTTAGGAGGTGCCTGAGTTTACAAACGTCGGGGATTCCTGCCGAGTTTTGGGCAAAAGTGCGATTGGATTAAGAGGAAAAAGGAGACACCACTTGGAGGCTAGCTCAGGTTGGTTATAGAAGTTCTCAGCCCTGTGGAAGAAAACAACCCTGGTAAGGTGGAGTGGGTCACCCTTGTTCCATGTCACTATCCCCCGCTGTCCCATGGGTAGCAGGAGGACAGTGCGGGAGGAGTAAAGTTACAGAAAGTGTGAAAAAAGTGTCGCTGGGCAGCTTCACTCTGCTACAAAGGGAGACAGTCCTCCCCTCTAGGAAATGAAACCCACTTCTCCTACACCTCTGAGGTGAGGTCTGCTTTGATGGGCGGCAGAGGATGGCCCTTTGTGCCCAGAGAGGGCGCTAGTATGCTTGAGGTGGGGCAGTCCTTCTGGCGGACTCTGGACAGGTCATTTTGGGCCACTCAGCTGGTAGAGCTGTCCCAGGAAACACCAGAAGAAAGATTCCTGCTCCCAGCTCTCTAACTGGATACCCCCTTCTCCAACCGATTCCATTCTCACCACTTCTTTCCACTGCGCAATGGCTTTCCTCCTTCCAAGTTAGATAATTGCTTTTCCCCACTATGTGCATCACCCAGGAATAAATAAAGTTACAAAGGACAACACTCCAGGGCTGGTGAGATGACTCAGTGGTCTAAAGCACCTACTTAGAACAAGCTTAGCAAAGCACAGTGACCGAGGTTCAATCCCCCAGCACCACATGCCAGCCAGCCCCACCCCCTGGTGGGCTGAGCTGACCACACACACACACACACACACACACACACACATAAATAAATAAAAATTATTTAAAAAAAAAAAAAGGACAACACTCCAAGACTCGGTGCTATCAATCCCACTTCCCCGAGGTCAGTGGGAAACTATGGCTACCAGGTTCAAGTGCGCAGCCTCTGCAGTAAATAAGGTAACCCTTTCCTATTACTTTAGCCCCATATGGCTACAATTTGAGTGTCTTTGGAGACTGTTGGGGGGGCAGGAGGGAGTGAAAGTGGAAATCAAATGCTCTTACATCGGATTTTTATGAAGGAAATTGTCAGTGATTCTCTTAACAGCTTCTCCCCCTCCCAAGAAGAGTTGCCTAGTTTCTTTGTTTATGGAAATTCAGGCCCTCGCTGGCCTGGGGACACCTGCTTCCGGAATCCCCAGGCTCTTGCCTTATTCCTCAGTGGTTTTGGTGACCTGACCACCCAGCCTCAGGACAAAAGTCCTCCAACCAGCTCCTGGGAGCCTGCCTGGGGTGCTGGTGCTGTGATGATTCCGAGCCCAGACTGGCCTGTTGACCCTGCCTCCTAGAAGTGCTAGGGCCACTTGGGGTCTGAGGCCCTCTTAGGGCTCCCTATGCCTGCCGCCCACTAACTGACCTACAAGTTCTCCTGGAGAAAAGCCTAAGGCTGGTGTGGTCCGGGAGGCAGGCAGACAGGCCCGGGCCAGGTGCTCACTGCCTGCCGGGTCGAGGCCAGATCAGCAAGCCCCAGCATGTCCTCTTGCTCAAGGCTGAGGCCCGGCCTCAGCTAGTTCTTTGGGAGCATTTCAACTTCGTGTCTTGAAGGGCATCATCGGACCTGCCTGTTCTTGGCTGCAAACTCAGGCAGCTTTGGTACCCAACCAATTGCCTCTGGTGGTGGGAGAGAGGCTGTGAATTAACTCAGATGACTCTGAGGCATGGCCCAGTGGGTCCTGGCCACTTGTGTCACAGCAGTGGCCTGTGGCTAGCATCCAGCAGCCCAGAGGCAGCAGGGAGTGTCCAGATGGCCTCCCTGATGCCCAAGCCCAAACTGAGTACCTGCCTTCAAGAATTACCAGTCTGGTGTGGGATGCTGTAAGAGTGACCCGCATCCTGGAGAAGGGTCAGAAGAGGTCTGGTCTGTACAGACTACCCAGCTTCCTGGCTGAGGGCACCACCTCTAGTTTTTCCTACAGCAAGAAAGACCCTGCTTTCCTGCCCTACTTTCTCCTCCCTAGTGGACATTCAGGTCCTTTTTGCTGGAGCAGGGCAGCACAGGAGGATAAAATGAGAAGGAGCCCTTTAGGTAGTCTTTCGTGGGCCAATACACACTAGAAGCTACATAATCTTTGACTGCTGCCCCCTTAAGCCACAGGAATAAGATCAAGTCCCCTCCCTGCCCATCTAGGGAAGAAAATACCCCTCCCCCAGTTAAGCAGCCTCTACTGAGCAGTCACTGTGGGGCTAGCACCTGCCCTATCCCATGTGAGTCACAACCAAGAAAGA